GCTATGAAAAATCCATTTCCCCCTTTGACCAGAAGAAGCTTTGCTGTTGATCTGAATGTCTCTCTCTTTATTTATGAAGTGTTCCCCCTCCTCTGCTTTCTCTATAAATTTTCCTGGTTCTGTCTGCAAAGGGAAGAAAGAGCTGGAGAAAGTGACAGGGATTTAAGGGGAGAATAGGGGCCTCCCATCATGGAATTTGCTTTCCAAATTGGGGCTGACTTGAAGGGAAAGGTGAAGGAGAAAAACTTGGCTTTGCAGCTAGACGGACTGCAGTTGAATTATGGCTCCATCTCTTCCTTTCTTTCTCTTCCTTTTCCTCCTCCTCCTCCTCTTCTTCCTCTTCCTCCTCTTCTCCTTCTTTTTCTCCTCCCCTCTTAATATATTATTATTATTGCTAGATCATCATCATCACTGTTATTGAGACAAGGTTTTGCTATGTTGCTCAGACTGGTCTTGAACTCCTGGCTCAAATGATCCTCCTATTCCAGCCTCCTGGTTAGCTGGAAATACCTGTGCATGCCACAATGCTCTGTTGGCTTCTCCTCTTCCTAACTGTATGATCTTAGAGAAGTTATTGATTTCCTTGAGTTACTGATTTCCCTTACCAACAAATGAGACCAACAGGATCTCACTTCACACATCTGAGTAGGGATTAAATAAGAAGATGCCCCTGAAGCACCCAAGACCAGTGCCTAGCACACAGTAGGCACTCAATAAAGGTGAATCTCCTTTTTTCCCCTGAGGACTTGGTACCATTAATCAGGCCGACAAGGATTCAGGGAAATAGATGTCTGACCAAAATGGGGTTAGGTGTAGGATCTATGAGAACTTGAATAACCACAGACACCACTGTCAGAGGATGCCCTGACACCCCACTCTTTGCCTTTCAAGCCTGCAGACCTCCGCCTGTGTCCCATGCCTTCCACCAAGGAGGGCACCTAAGCCAGTGCAGCTGGTATTGCCTCTTCTTACTCAGCCCAGCCAAGTGTTCCAGCCGGGAAGGTTTGCACACAGAATCGCAAACACGCCCCCAGCCATTGCTGCCCTGCACGGCTGTCAGCCTGTCCTCAGGCGTGCCTCCCATGCCCCCATGCAGAGAGCACCTTCACTGGCTGCTGAGTAGCCTGCCCCACTCCACCCGATGGCTCTTGTCTGAATCAGTAGAGGGTGCAGAAGGTTTTGAGTTCTGCAGGGTTGCAGGGTGGAACGGTGCCCTGGTCATCTTTTGGAATAACCTTAGGCACCCTTAACCCTTCCAGGAGAGCTGGGACCTCCTACCGGCACATGCTCAGTAGAGAGACCAAGTGCTTTCACTTTGCATTTCACCTTCTTAGCAACCCTGTGAGGCAGGTAAAATGGTTCGATATCAGCCCCTTCCACCCCTGCTTTGCTCCTTTTGTAAATGAGCTCACTGAGGCTCAGAAAGGCTAAGAGGTTTGCCTGAGGTCACACAACAGGTGAGGGGTGAGCATGAAGAAAGGCAGCTTTGTCAGACCCCAATGGGTCTCTATCATCTCCCCCGCTACCCTTTCCAAGCTCCAAGGTTTTGTCATTGCTCTGAAGGAGGCTCCCACCATAGACACCACCAGACTCCAGGAGGTCAGAATGGGACCTGAGGGTCTTGCTACTTCCCCTCTGTCCCTGAGTGACTGAATGTACCTATTGCTTCTGCAGCTGGGATGCTCAGGTGCCCAGCCTTCAGCTCTGCATATGGCAGAGAATGCAGATATTTGGTGGTTGGTGCCTCAGTTTCCCCTTTATGGATTTGCTCACTCCTATCTCCTAGCAGGTAGGGTGAAGCTAATTTAGTGTTTATTTAAGGGCTTCTGCATTCTCAGCTGACAAGTGCCTTGTGATAGTAAAATATGAACCCAACATAAGTGCAAAATGCTATTGTTTTATACCTGAGGGTGATGTTTCATAAAGGCAGTGCACTGTCAGAACCGTAAGCAGAAATGAATGGTGCGTCTCATCCTCCCCAGTTCCCCCAGACTCAGACGACAGCAGCTCACATCCTGGGGTGGGAGAAATATGAGGCTACTTGCCTTTTGCTATAAATCTGCTGTTTCATCAGCCCTTACAGGTGGTGGATGATCCCAGTCAATTGATCAATTAAATCTAACCATTTGTAGTTGCTGGGAACCTGTGTCCTTGGCTCTGGCAAGTCCAAGACCCCAAAGTATCAGAAGGCTGCTGTCATTGTGGTTGATGCTCCTAGTGGGAGCAGAGGGGGATGCTTGGGGAAGGGGCTGTCAGTCAGGAGAGCAGACTAGGAATACGTGTTCGGGTGGAGGAAAGAGTGCGGAGGAGTATCCAGGTTTTGTGGTTTGATTTGCCATCAGCTAGTCATTCAACAGAGTGAGTTGTCCGTCTTCTGGCTCTGATGGAAGGCAGAGTTGAGTTCCAGTCCTGGCTTAGGCATGACATGTAAATTTAAGTAACTCAGTTGCTTCTCAGTCTTAATTTTCTTCCTATAAGCTAGAAATAATAATACCTCCCTGAGAGTTATGGAGATTAAATATAATATCTAACAGAATAATAGCCTGGCCCCGAGTCTGGCCTGGAGTTGACTGGAGCCCGTGGTGACTACTGTTGCGGGGGACATTGTCATTAGAGAAGGCTACCTCAAACTTGTGGCTAAGTGTTTACTTACCTGCTACCACAAATTGGACAGTTCCTGAATTCTTACCAGTCCAAATCTTTCTCAGCTTCCTCTGTTAAGATCATCAGGTACAATGTAGAGTTATTCTGTGCCTTGATGGATTTGAGCTCCTAAAATCCACGAAGCTGCCATGGTGAAGGTGTTTGATTGACTATGTCATCTCCAGAAGCACCCAGAACCTCAGAGTGATGTCCCTGCTCCCAAAAGCTAAGGATTATCTGAAATGTCCAGAGTCCCACAGGGCCACTCCCAGTTAGGATCAAGCAAGTGTGTGTGTGTTTTATTAATTTCATTCTTGGCCAGTTGAAAATAGAAATTGGTGCCCCTGGTTGTGTTTAAGGCAGACAAAGGTATATATATATATATACACACATATATATGTATATATTTTTTAGTTGCAGTGGTCACACTACAGTCACACATTGCCTAGTGGTTAAGTGGTTAAGAAAGTGGCTTGGAGGTCAGATTGCCTGAGTCTGCATCTCAGAGCCTCACTGACTAGTCACGTGAATCTTGAATAAGTTGCTTCCATCTCTCAGTGTCTTGGTTTCCTCATCTGTAAATTGGGATAACAGTGGTACCTACTTTATAGGTTTTAGGGACGACTCAATGACATCATGTAATTAAAGTCCTAGCAACTGTACCTGGCACATGGAAGGTACCTAACAAATATTTGTTGAATGGATCTTGGTAAGGATGGCTTTCAGAAGGTAAGCAAGCTCATGGACATGGGGCCTGGTATGTGTAGATGCTGAGAAGCCTTGCCAAGCCTCAGTTTACCTACTTGGAAAATGGTTTGATTTTTGTATTGTGAAGAATACTCCAACCATTGAGAGCAGGACTGCCAGAGCATCTGAGGATCCACTGCCCCACCACACATATACCCAGAACAGACTTGCTCAGTCACCAACCCCATGACTGTCACAGGGGAGGCAGAATGAGGGGGAGATTGGCAAGTGCTGCTGTCCTCCTTCTCTGAGTGCCTTTCAGCTGCTAGGGGTGCAGAGCCTGGTGGGGACAGAAAATGCATTTGCTGCTAAGAGGACGCCCCTGACAAGGCAGCCAGGAGCCCACGGATGTTTTTTCCAGCGCAGCTGCTAATGGCTTCATCACTGCTTTTTGTGAGATGATGTGAATTGCTCTAGCCAATGAGGCTTAATGACCTTCCTCAACGACCTGCCTGGTATCTTCTCCCTGGAGGCTCAACTCAGAGTTAAGCCAAGAATATTAATACCGGATGTGGGTCCTCACCATCCCCGCAAAGTTGTGGAAATTGAGGTCAAGTTGGGTCCCCTGCAACGTTCTTTAAACAAGCAGCAGTGGTTTGTTTGCTCCTTGATCTTCCTGGTGGAGATGGAATGGCTTCCAGCTGGAGACCTGGGGCCGGGTCCTTTCTTCCTCTGGGTTTGCTCCCACTTGCCTGGAGGTGGCCTTCTTAAAGGGGCAGGCTCCATGGTGTGGAGGGGGAGGGCCCCCTCATTCCAACATTCAGGGCTGCTGGAACAGGAGCAGGAGCAGGAGGTACCAAGGCCCTCTGCTGGGATAAGAGGAGCAGCAGGCCTGAGAATGTGTTCCCATGTGGTGGAGGGTTGGAAAGGCAACATGTCAGAGATGGCAGGGGATCGGGGAGGGGGTGGGGGGTGGGGGGTGAGGGGGGCTGCAAGGGCAGGAGCAAATGATCAGAGAGGGTAGGGAATTCTGCAGGTAGCCAGTGTCAGGGCTGGGTCTCTGGCTCCTGGAGCCTCCCCACTCATCACACTGCTATTCCTCATTCAGTCCTTTGTGACAGTGCCTTCTTTAAATGATCTTCAGGGGCCCACAATGGCTCTCAAGGCCTCCCACAGCCTTCCATCCTCAGGCGAGCATCCCACTCACTCCCTCCAGCCATTCCTCTTGGACCATGGTTTTGAGACTGTTCCTCTCTGAGCTGCCATAGGGTAGAAAGCGCACTAAACTCCTTGTCAGGAAAATGGATTAAAATGCCAGCTCTGTAACTCAGCTATGGGCTCCTGCACATAGTATAGTCACTCAGTAAATATGTATTTATCTGGGCGTTTCAGTGTCCCTTCCAGGATGTAGATGTCATTGTGATCGTGACTTTGGTTCCTTCACCTTAATGGAGTTTGTACCAGCCCCTCCCCTTGGACTTGGCTTAACAGGGAAGATGGCACCTTTCACTTTTGCCATGCCTGTGCCAGCCTGAAAGCTTCTTTACGGCAGGAAGTGTCTCTAACTCTTCTTGGCCAGTGCCTAGTATATAGTCAGTGCTCACTAAGTGCTGATGCTCACCTCCGTGGGAGTTGCATCTAACCGCACTCTCCCCTTGTCTCCCGTGCAGCCCGCCCTGAGGATGTCGGCACCAGCCTCTACTTTGTAAATGACTCCTTGCAGCAGGTGACCTTTTCCAGCTCTGTGGGGGTGGTGGTACCCTGCCCGGCCGCGGGCTCCCCCAGCGCGGCCCTTCGATGGTACCTGGCCACGGGGGACGACATCTACGACGTGCCGCACATCCGGCACGTGCACGCCAACGGGACGCTGCAGCTCTACGCCTTCTCCCCCTCCGCCTTCAATAGCTTTATACACGACAATGACTACTTCTGCACAGCGGAGAATGCAGCCGGCAAGATCCGGAGCCCCAACATCCGCGTCAAAGCAGGTAGGGGACCAGACAGACGCCTGCTCCCCAACTGGGGCTGGTCTGATGGCTGGACTAGGGATAGGGTGGACAGGCTGTCATTGTAAGGATATGTGTGGGTTGTGCACAGAGGGCTTGGAAGAAACCATGCACTTGGGGAGAGGATCTTATTCTCTCTCTTTGTTTGTTGGTACTGGGATTTGAACTCAGGGCTTTGCATTTGCTAGGCAGGTGCTCTACTGTTTTGAGTCACACCTCCAACCCTTTTCCCTTTTTTTTTTTTTTTTTTCAATCCAGGCCAGTCTGGACCATCACCCTATTTTACATTTCCCATTGTAGCTGGAATGACAGGCATGCACCACTATGCCCAGCTACTGGTTAAGATGGGGTCTTGCAAACTTTTTGCTCAGGCTGTCCTTGAACTCAAGATCACCCCCTCCTCCTCCTCCTCCCAAGTAGCTAGAATTACTGACATGAGCTACTAGCCCCCAATAGAGTCTTATTCATTGAATCTCAGCTCAGCTACCTACTGTGTGTGCTTAGGCAAGGGAGGCATGTTTCTAAATCTCAGTTTCTTTATCTGCTCACTCACAGTGAGTACATACCTTGTGCATCACTGAGTGCAACATTAAATGACACAGTGTTCATTTACACTAAGTACCACATTCACTTCAGCACTGCACTTACAGAAAACATTGGCTGGGTTTATTTTTCTAAAACATCTTTTTACTAAAATATGTAAAGAAAAGTGCAGGATTTAGTATATAACTGAATGAGTTTTCACGAGGTTCAACTGATACCCAACCTTGGATATACATCCTCAGAAACCTCCTTTCTGCTTTTTATTTGGGGGGGGGTCACTATTCCGCAAAGAATAAACACTGTCTTCACTTCTAACAACATAGTGCTTTGCTTACGTTTGTGCCTTGTATTAATGGCTGTAGTCTCTACAATCTTTGACTCACTCTTCTGACTGTGGGATTTACCCTCTCTGTTGTATGCAGTGGGAGATTGCTCATTCTTGTTGCTGTATAGTACTCCACTGTGACTGGATAGCACGAAGCTTGTCCGCCACAGTGCTGAAGGATGTTTGAATACGGTATAGCTCAAGAGCACAGCCATTTAGGTAAAAGTCATGATGGAAAACCTTTAGCAGTGAAGGATTTGGGCCTTTGGAAGAATGGATGGTGGCAAGGAATTGAGGGTTTCTTATGTGGTCTCTTTAGAAAAAATAGGATGTCTCATTTTCCTGGGACAGGTCTGGAGGTGGTAAAAGGTTTAACCAGCTCTTCCTAACTAGGGCATCACCATACACCTGTGTGTCTCATCACTGGTGAGGTGTGCCTCAAACAGTAGTTAGGCACTGACATGTGGGAAGTGGTTTTCTTAGAAGGGTATCTTGGGACAGTCATGGTGGTTCATGCCTGTAATCCCAGCTACTAAAGAGAAGGGGGGAGGAGGACTGAGATCTAAGGCCAGCCTAGGCAAAGTTACTGAGAACCTATCTGAGAAACAAACTCCTGCGGGGAATCCTTGTTTAGAAGGTGGTCCACGGGCTATGAGCCTACTACCACATCAAATGCTGGGCTGGGAGCCTGAGGTCTGAAGTTCATCCCAGTTTGTCTTTGTAACCTGAAATACTGGGGTAAAGGCAAGGGCTGTCATATTTCCTGTCCTGAGCCTGAACTTGGGTTAGGATGCAATTTCACAGTAAGTTCATAAAGGGTTTCTTATGAATGAAGGGACTAAGACAAAAAGAGGGCTTTAAGTCACTTGCCCAAGGGCATAGAGCCAGTTCACCACAGAGGCAGTGCTGTCAAAGTGCTTTCCATGTGCTGGGCCTTTGAATGCTGTTTTACCTATGGGGAAACTGAGGCTCCAAAAAGTTAACTCACCCTTTTCCAGGATCCCACACTGATTGGAGGAGAGGCAGGGCTCGCTTGTTTGATGCTCTTATGTAATCCTGGGGTACTACCGCCCCAGGACTCTCAGGGGTGGTGTGCAATGCAACCTGCCCTTTGCAACTACCACTCTGCACCCCTCCAGGGTCAGCTCTCAGGCTCCTCTGTGCTAGATGTATGTCCTAGACCACAGCCCCAGACAGCTGACAGCACCTCTCTTCCCCCTCCTCTCTCTACCCTCTTCTCCACCTCCACTACATCTCTTCCCCATCAGAAGCCACAGCACAGACAAGGGGGAGGACGAAGGCCTGGAGAAGGCCAGGGAGGGCCAGACCCACTGGAAACACAACCAATTAAGAGGCTCTTGATGATGCCAGCAAGGCTGCAGGTGCATGGCTGGGGGATACCAGGGCCCTAAGTGTCTCCCTGGCAACCATGGCAAGGAAAGGAGAAGGGAACGCTGCCCAGGTGCCTGCTGAGGGACAGGCCAGTAGGCAGTGGGGCTCTGGATGTTCCAGCTCTGCTTGGCAGAGAAGGGGGTGGGAAGATGGAGCAAGTCTCTGGGAGCGGATGTGCAGAGGAGGCCAGGGCAAAGGCAAGACCCTCTTTCTCATTCCCAAGGCTGCGTCAGTCCACCTGCAGGACCTGACACATGGGCAGCTGTAGGTGACAGCCCCCAGAGACCAGCCCTGGGAGCAGGGTCAGAGTGGACCCTTGGAGGAGGGGATAGTTCTGAAAATAGGGTCAAGGTTGGGGGCTGGAGGTAATGACAGGAGGTGGGAGAAGGCAGCAGGAATCTCAGACACTGTGTCTGTGTTTCTGGGGTTCTACATTCTGAGACGTTCTCAATTTCAAATATCTTCCTCTGCTGCCAATGATACACCATCAAGCCCAATATCTGAACTGTATTTCCCAGGATGTAGGGAATAACGAAGGAAATCCAGTTTGGTTTCTCTAGGAGAATTCTAGTGTGTTTCCTTGTCATCCACAGACCCCCCCCCCCGTCAGTACTCACCAAAATGCAGAGGTTGGAATTTGGGTGTCTGGTTCTGCAGAGGGTGGTGCGCTGTTCAGAGGAGGAGCAGATGCCCCATGGGGTGGGGAGGAGGTTGATGGAGAGGAGAGGCTTAGGAGAAACAAGGTCAGGCAAGAACTTCTGGGCTGGAAAAACAGGAGGTGGGTGGGAATAGGTGAGGAGGGTGTCTCGGGTGTCCAGGAGGTAGGCCCACTTGCTGTCCTCTTCTCCTCTGGCCTCATATCCTTGTGACACTCTTCTCTTCCCCACTCCCAATCTTGTTTCAGTTTTCAGGGAACCCTACACCGTCCGGGTGGAGGATCAAAGGTCAATGCGTGGAAACGTGGCCGTCTTCAAGTGCCTCATCCCCTCTACAGTGCAGGAATACGTTAGCGTCGTGTCTTGGGAGAAAGACACAGTCTCCATCACCCCAGGTAAGAAGGAATCATATTGCAGCAAGGGCTGCTGGAGTTGAGTACAGGGTCTGAACTGGTCAGATTGCTAAATGAGACTTTGACTTTGGTTCTGGGGAGTGATTTGTCATTGCACTGGTGATGCTTTGGCAATCAAAGCATCTTTGGTCTCTGTCTGGTCTTTGTGTAGGGTGGTGAAGAACCCATGCTGAGGCCTTGGCTGGGTGTGTGAAGGTCCCAGAAGATATGGAGAGGGTCTCACTCCCCAAAGGAGTGGGCCTGCCATCTTTCCTGACCCCTGGGGCTCTTCTTGACCTTCTCTGAGAGACGAGAGGCAACTGACAGACAGCCTCTCTGTGAAAGGTGACAAGGAGAGGCAGGATAAATGTTTAGTTTGTGTCCCCATATTGAATGAATAGGAAAATGAGACTGGGTCCTTGGAGGCCAGGCCCAAGGAAGTGCGTGTGTGGGAACTTTTCTTCCCATGAATTGGCCGAGACACCATCTGAATCCTCACCCGCCTTGCTGGGTGGCTAATATTGGGAACTGTGTTATGCTCTCACCTCACTGCGGCTGCTGTGATTGCGATACCTCATTATGGGTTGTCCCCAACAGGAAGCAGGCCTGGGAACCCTGGGACAGGACCTTAAGTCCTTAACCTCCCTCCAAGTCTCCAGTTACAAAGCAGGGATTTTCCTGTCATTCACTCCTTCCTCCCTGCACACTCGGCTTCCCGTAGCATTTTCTTCCTTTCTCCCCCAAGGACCTTTACTATGAAGCATCTTGACCAGTGCTTTCTGAATGACCCATCAGCACTCAGGTCCCCAGCCCATTGTCTGTTCCTTAAGGTTAGTTGGGGAAGACAAACCCTTTAGAGCAGGGGTTCTTCATCCTGCTGCCACCCAAGTCCCTGCAAAGCTCCCTTAGAAACGCCAGTGCTCAGGCCCAACCCCAAGTCAACTGAATCTGATTTCTCCGATGTGGGGCCTGGGCCTCGGCCTTTTCTAGTACTCTCCAGGTGTCCCAGTGTACAGTGCTTGGGTGTGTTTGCAGCTACCTTTGCTGGGGGTGTGAGTTTGTGCTTTTCTTTCAGTACTGTTCCTTCTTTCAGGTGACCAGGATATTGTATCTCCAGGGCTTCAGAGCTTCAAAGCTACTTGAAGGTAGCTGCTCTTCCTGACTTTTGTAAAGCCATAAGTGAATAGGAAAGGCTAGGATGGGAGTTCTGTCTGGGGAGGAGAGCCTGTAAGAGCGAGGGACAAACAGGTGTCAAGGAAGCCAGAGGTGGGTTGTTGTTACAGTTCCTCATGGGATGCAGCTGGAAGAAGCTTTTGGACCTTGTAGGGTGGCTATGTGGGGCCTCACAGGACTGAGGTTGAGTTCAGGGTTCTTGTGTCCAAATGAGACATGAGGTACCTAGCCAAAGTCCCAAAGGGATGTGCAGGCAGGGAGCATAGGCTGGTGCTGTCAAGATGGATGGGGACCACTGGAATGTCAGATCTTGGTACATCTCTGGGGGAAGCCCATGTAATGATGGTGACAGGATTTCCTGCTTTTCTAGCAGAGTCAGACTTAAGGTATTTAAAGAACATCAGGAAATGAGGTATTTCTTACATACTTGGAATATGGACTAACATTATGCTCATTAAAATAATAATAATTATTATGTTGAAATTTTTTGAGTCCTTAGTGTTTTCCAGGCACTAGGCTAAGAAACCTTCAAAAATGATCTCATCTCAGTCTCACAAAAAGTCCATAAGTGTATGGCCCCCATCCCCAATTTACAGAAGAGGAAACTGAGACTCAAAGAAGGAAATTAATTTATTTCGGGTTACATGTCTATTAGGCAGAGAGTGGGGCTTGAACCTAGGTTTGGTTTTTTGACCTGTGCTGTGCATTCAACCCCCACCCTGAAGTGCCTTCCTCTGCCCACACAAATGTGTCCAATGAAGTATCATTCTGGGTACCACAGAGCCTTTGAATGTGTGCTATACAGGTAGTGGGGGCTTTGGGCTCAGGAAGAGGACAAAAACCAATGTTGACTTTTTAGGGAAGATTGGTAGAACCAAGTCCAGGTAGCGATTTGAGCCCAGAATCTGGGCCCTGACTGCCTGGGACTGAAACTCACTCTGTTGCTTACTAGCTGGGCAAGTCATCTTCCTCCCTCAAAGCTTCAGCTCCCCCAATTATAAAATGGGTTAGTAGGGTTGAAGTATGAATGAAATAAATTCATATGTGTGCAACATGTGGGATGCTGTCTGCACATGCTGAGAACATGCAGGGTTGTAGCTGTTATTATTGGGGAAGATAGCATTCTGTTCTCGCTGCTTCCTTTTGTGGTGTGTGAATTTCTGCTATGAAACAGCATCTATGTTCCTGCAAGACTTCATCTCCTGGGGGTGGGAACTGGGTTTTCATTCGTGCGTCTCTGGTTCCTAGCACACTACCTTTGCATTTGGGGTAAGCACTCACTCAGTGACCAGTAAGTGATGAATGGGTGGTTGGAAAATTCTGAAGGGTCCTGGAGGTAGCCTGGACAGAGGCATTGAAATGAGGGTGAGTGTGGTAGGTGCAGGGCAGAAAGAAGACCAGAGCAGATAGGGAAGAGATGGAGGTGATAAGCTTCCCTGAGGCAGCCCTTGTGGTTGGTGCTTCAGGGCTGTTTTGATGTCAAGACTGGGCTGTTGGCCCCAAAGGGCATAATTACCAGGAAAGTCACCTTGATGCCAATCTGTGGGGCTGCGTTAAACTTTGGTTCTGTAGAAGCCTTTTCTTTCCTTTGGTTTTGGAGAATTTTCTCCCTACCCCATCCACAATCATTCTCGATCCTTCCACAGCTACATTTTAGACCCAGGGACAATATTTCCTATGTACCTGACTAACTAACATGTTCCTGGAGGAATCTGTGAAAGCCAGAGAGAGCAGGTGTCAAGCTCTGTAGGTGAAGGGCCAGACTTGGGCCCATGTGCTGCATGTTTTATTTTGGGAAAATGCAAATTGTTTGATTTCTTAAAATAAAAATAGGATTTTTCTGCTATCCATATTCATATTATACCCAATGTCTCTCTCTCTCTCTCTCTCTCTCTCTCTCTCTCTCTCTCTCTCTTTCTCTCTCTTCCTGTATGCATGTGTATATTTTGAGTATTTTGAGGTGGGAAGACTAGATGACAGCTTCTCACAGGGGTTGGGGGACAACCTTATGGGTTGCTCTGAAGGTTGAGGATGAATAGAAGAGCCTGAGCTACTTCCCTCAGACTCTACAGGGGTTGCTTCTGGAGATGACCTGTGTGGACTTTGATTTATAGATCTGTTGGGCTTGGATGTTCCACAAGTCACAGGGCCAGCAGGACAGGTGCCAGTTGGGGCCCCTGGAAGCATCCCCTTGAGGAAGGCAGGTACCTTGGGATGAGGGGCCCATGGCCACAGGCTGCTGCTAGGCCCTGTGGGTGGGAGCAGTCCTCTAGTACCTCTTTCTGAGGAACAGTGGGGTCTGTGAGTTGAACACTTTCTGGCTATCCATGGCTGTCTTGGGGCTAGCCATGGAGGCCCTAAATGGCCTTCTGCTATGCTTTTCCAGGACTGGGAGAGGCTGGAGAGACAGCCCTAGGTGTCCTCTTTCCTGTAGTTCTCTACTACACATGCCTCCTCTCACCTCCCCCTCTTCCCCCCTTCCAGCTGGTCATCATTCTTCAATTTGGCTGTCTCAAGGTGTGTGGAAAGCACAGAGCCTCTGTCCTCTGACTTGCCAAACTCTTGCCCTCACTTCTCTCCTGGGGGACTTGATGTTGAGGTGAACTGGCTCTCCGGAGTGGGTGGGGTGGCCGTAGGAGGGCTAAGCACTGTGCACAAACATAAATTAAAATGAAGGGTTCCAGTGATGCTGAGATGTGGTTTAATTTCCCATCTGCACGATCACCATTACAATGCATGTTATTGGATATAAAGATAAATCCGGCCCTGTTCCTAATAGCTTTTAATTTCCACCAGATCTGATTATATTGATGCAGGCTCCTTATGGGAGTTTCCCAGCATGCTCTTCCCCAGCATCCTGCCTGGCTGCCTTGGCCTCAGCGGGGAGTTTTGGACCTCGCTCAGATGCGGGCCAGACGTGTGCTCTGCTGCTTTGGAAGACAAGCCTGGATGAGCCCCCTTGTCCACGCGGATGGGGTCTTGGATGCTGGATTGTCGTCATGACTTGTTTGGGCAGAGAATATATCAGGGATGGTGCAAGTTGGGGGAGGGGACAAGCAGGGACAAGGAGAACTCTGGTGGGGGTGAGTTAGGGAGGATCCTTTCTGAAAAGGTCCCCACTTCAAGGATTCCTCAAGCCTGCTTGCTCCCCGCAGCCTCCTTTGCCTACAGGTGAGAGACTAGTGACCCACAAGCTATTCTGTGCATCCCTAGAGACTGTCCCCAGAGTAGCAAGGTCCTAAGGTTTTGTGTGGGCTTCCATACCTCTTTCATGTGTCCTTGCTGTCTTCCCCGCCAGATGGCTATGATCCCCTGCTCTCCTATTGATACCCCACCCCTCCTTTGCCCTTGAACTTGGTGCATGTGTGTCTGTGAAGCCTGGCATGAGCCTGCCTGTGGACACACTGCTCCACTGGCTCCCTGAGGTCATGTACGTCCTTCCTATCTTGCATTACAGTCATCTATTATTTCTGTCTGTCTGCATAGGAGGGTTTATGGTGATACCTTTTTTGATCATTTTTTATCCGCCAGGACAGCATAGCACTGTTACAGAGTAATAATAATAAGACAAATGATAATACCTAGCATGTATGGAGCCCTCTTTTGGGTTAGGCATGTTCCATATATTATCTCTAATCTCACAAAACACCCTTTAAGAGAGATAATGGGTTTTTGTTTTGTTTTGTTTCCAATTTATAAATGAGGATAAGGAGGCCCCAGGAAAGAGGATAAGGAGGCCCAGGAAAGTTAAACATCTTACTCAAGATCACACAGCTAATAGGGATGCAGCCTAGATTTGGGCTGGGGTCACCTAGCTTCCTCTACTTCCTGCTGTCTCTTCAAAGCAGCCTCCTCACAAAGAATTGACTGTCCTCAGGTTTTAATCTAGGAGAAG